CGGTGAGAACTGATAACATTAAACTGCCATTGTGAACTCTAATGAAGCGGATTCTCTTGTCCCTAAAGCAAAAAGAAGGTCGAGTGTTGGCAGCAAGATAGCAATGTTGACCAACATTTATCTTATCATCGAATCCAGAATACAATCCGATCTGCAAAATGAGATCTCAAGTGTGTTTTGACATCAAGCAGTAAGATCTTGAGTTTTCGAGATACGAATTCATCTAATAACAGTTGCCTAGTTCATGTTCTTCATTCTGTCTACTCACTCTACTGACCACTAACTCTGGTCCCTCAAATCCAAAATTTGACAAGGTAACTCTACAACCTAATTTGAAGAGTGCATCAGCTTCATATGAAGACAAACGGAAGCAGCAGCAGCAAACGGAAGCAGCAGCAGCAAAACAACCCCAATCGCCGGGTCCCCGAAATCCCCCTCTCGTCGGCCTCCTCCACCTCCTCGCGGCAACCAGACCCTCTCCTGTAAATTCAAAGTCTTCAATCGCCACGAAAGATCCATGAAAAAAATGAAGGATGCGGAAAAGTATCGGGATCAAAAGTTGGGTTTGTTTCTTTGATAGACAGAGTAGAGCTAAGGGCTGTGTAAGAAACGAGGATGTTGTAGGTGACGCAGCTGATCTTCCAGCCGAGCGCGATGGCGGTGACGACCGGGTCGAGGACGGTGCGGTGGTTGCAGACGAAGAGGACGGCCGACTGGCTCTTTCTGGGCGGCGGCGAGTGTGAAGGAGACGAGGCCTATGCTTTAGAGCAAACTGGAAAATGTGTAGGGTTAATTTTATTTATTATTTTTATTGTTAATTTACCCTTATACCCTTAATGAATCCTGTTGTTAGTATAACAACATTTAAGGTGTTGTTATACTATCCTGACCCTTTTATTTCCATTAGCGAAGTGATTAAGGAGCCGCTAATCATGGGATCCGCCTCCTAATTTAGAGTTGAATTTGAGTTTTCAATGTCATATTTTGTTTCACAGCAAGCAACCACCAAGGCGACGGCTGCTGGCGAGGGAGACCAGCCGACGGCAGCAGAGTGTCACCTGCCGGTGGCATAGATTTCCATTTCCAAGCTAAAAATCAGAACTTTCCTGCGTGTGCATTTATCTGTTTGACATTATGTACAGTGGAAACAGTGGGAGAGAGTGTCTGCAGTAAGCCAAAGGAGGCTCTCGATCGACTCTTCAAAATAAAATCTGCATCATAGACCTCCCCTCCCTCTATCCATCTTAGATCATAGCAAATTACATGTTCCTATTTCTTGTCTATTATATCAATCAATAATCAGTTCCATCTCTTGGAATTCTTCGATCCTTTCGACTTCTGTTTTGCAGCTTGAAACGCCTGCACCTTCTGCTTCTTCCGTGCCTCCTTCTCAGCCTGTCGATCCAAAAACGTAAAAATGCTTCAATCTCATTTCTCGATGTGATAGAGTCTAGTCTTATTGAAGTTGTTTGCATTGCTGGCTAGAGATAGTAAAGATAACAGTAATGCTACTTACCTTTGACATCTTCGATTTCGCCTTCACTTTGGGAGCTTTATCCTCAAGCATTGCCTCACGTTCCAGCTCTTTCTCCCTTGCTTCAAGATTCTTCTCCAAGTAATACTGTAGGGAAGTGGAAATGACATATCATAGACCGATCTTAAAGCTCTCAAGCTTGGTACCAACATACAATATAATTAACAAAACCATATGATAAGAAGAGCCAAGAGAGGTCAACTTACATTATAATCGCCTACATAATCCTGTAACTTGCAGTCTCTAACTTCAATCACTCTGTTAACAATTTGCTTGATGAAGTAACGATCGTGAGAAACAGTGATGACTGTGCCAGTGTATTCTGATATGGCATCCTGTAGAAACAGTTCATTACAAATCGCTGTCGATGATAAAAGCTTAGCAAAGCAGTGGATATAATAAAAAACAACTGCATAAGAACCCAAACCTCGAGCATTTCTTTGGAAGGTATATCCAGGTGATTGGTTGGTTCGTCCAGAACTAGCAAAGTTGAAGGCTTTACCATGAACTTACAAAACGCCAGGCGAGCCTGAGAAACCAAGGAACAAGAAGACTTATCAAGAAGTCCAAGCACACACAGGTCAATTATGAAAGATGTCACTTGATTTTGGGTCAAACGAATCGGTCAATAGACTCTGATTTTTGGCACACAAATTGAAGAAAGTTTTGAATACTAACATAACAATCACTCAGTATGGTTTTCCGTCCAAGTGTCCGTATCAGTGTGTTAACTCGTCAAAATTAATAACAGAGGCAACATAAATCCTTTGCAGATGTAGGGTAAGGGGAAAATAAGGAATTAGGTTGACTTACGATCATGTGGGTTCTATTAAATAAGAGTAACAAGTGTGGTCAAGGTCGAGTCTAGTTAGCTAATAACTCTTATGTCAGCGATTGCAAATTAACACATTGTATTACCACGGAGTATCAATCCAAGTACACGGGGAAGCAAATATTAATCATTCCATATTCTGCTTACCTTCTCACCGCCACTCAAAAGAGAAACTTTCCTGTCAAGCATATCAGCCTTGAAGTTACAACGCCCAAGGAGACCCTTTATATCATCAACTCTCCAATCCTCTGCCACTTCTGCCACTGTATCAAGCACTGACTTATCCAGATCAAGAGCTTCGGCCTAACCAAAAAACATAACGTTACAGGATGGTATCAAACATGAACCAGTAACGACTATGTAGTGAAGTCTTAATGCTGTGAACAACAAACCTGATTCTGCTCGAAATAATTTGGAAGCACATTGTGCTCCCCTAGTTCGATTTCGCCTCCTGTTGGTTTCTCCATCCCCATTATCAGTCTCAGCAAGGTACTTTTCCCACATCCATTTGGTCCAACGATGGCAATTTTCTCTCCTCTCTCTATGGAAAGGTTTGTTTTTTTGAACAGCGTCTGTTTCAGATATCACACCAGAAGCAGCCTTATATTAGAGTACATTCACGGAACAGAAAGTCTTTTTTGTACCATTGTGGTACCTCACCTGATCTCCATAACGGAAGTCGAGATTCTTGATATCAGCAACGGACCTCCCACTTCTTCCACGCTCCGGGAAACTGATCCTCATTTGTTTGCGCTGAAATGGCTTTTCTATTTGATCCTCTTCCTGAAGTCTTTCTAATTTCTGTTATCAGCAAAGGTAGAACAAAAACACAACTTAACACCCAGAGGTACCTCAATTTACCGATTCATGACTGTCCTGAAATTCATCAAAGAAAGAAAGAGGGTTTCCAGATCATATTCTACCTTCTCAGCAGTAGAAGCCCGGCCAGAATTCACGCCTGCACCCAACCTACTGATTAGTTCCCTTGCCTGCTCAATTTCCTTCTGCTGCTTCTCCCATGCAGCATACTGAGATTCAACCCATGCCGCCTTTGATATGATGTATTGAGAATAGTTTCCTTCGAATGTCCGAGACACACCCATTTCAGTTTCCACGATTTTGGTACACAGTTGATCCAGGAAGGCCCTGTCGTGAGATATGAGGACCATTGGCACATCTTGTTTCTGCAGATAACCTTCAAGCCATTCGATCGTGTCGAGGTCAAGATGATTTGTAGGTTCATCCAGCAGCAACAAATCAGGTTCCTGGAAACGTTACAAATAGGTGAAGACTTAAATATCATTTAGCCATATTGCCATACATAAACAAGTCCAAAACACAGTCAACCATAACATTCCAAGGCTCTTCTAAACCTTCCAACTAAGAATCAAAGCACAGACTAAAACTTAGTAAAACAACTGTACCTGCAACAAAATCTTGCCAAGGGACATCCTCATCTGCCATCCACCACTAAAAGAGGCCACCAATCTATCACCATCCTCTGCTGAGAACCCAAGCTCTGGCATCAACTTACTAACCTTAGCATCAACCTCATCAGAATCCACAGCTTGAGCTCTCCTCTGCAACAAATCGAATTCATCCAACAACCTTCCCATCAACTCCAAGTCGTCCACAGACCCTTCAATCGCCTTCTGCACCTTCTCCAGCTTCCCTTTAATCTCCATCTGCTCCTTGAACGCGCTCTGAAACTCCTCCCTCACAGTCCTCCTCAACGACACCTCGAACTCCTGGCTCAAGAATGCAATTTTCATGTTGGGTTTCGCCTTAATCACATTCCCACTATCCGGCTCTTCCTGCCCAGTAATAATCCTCAACTGGGTAGTTTTCCCGGCGCCATTAACTCCGACCAAACCAACTTTCTCCCCTCTCTTCACCTCCCAGCTCACATCTTTCAACACCGTGACGCCCTTGTAGCTCTTGGTTATGTTCTCCAATTTCACTCCCGACGAAATCCCGGAAGCTCCTGAGGTATTGCTCCCTTGCTTGCCGCCCCGTTTCTTGTCGGATTCGCCGGAGGAATTGGTGGAGAATAAAGACTCGATGTCTTCTGCTTTGGACTCGTCCACTGACGCTTCCACCGTGGCGGTGGATAACCTGGCGGCGACCTTGGAAATCCGTCTGGTGGAGAGTTTGATAGAACTGGGAATGGCGGTTCGAATTGGTCTCTGGAGCTTGAAACTGGGCGGGAGGGGGCATTTCGGGGAGTCGAAAATTGGGGAGCCGGTGATGAAAGTGGAGTGCAGGTCTAGGCGGTGGAGCTTAGCGGAGAGAGCCATGATAGTATCCCGGGAAAATCAAGCTTCACAACGAAGGTAATGGTGAAGAGGATAATTGAAGCTAGGGATGAGAGAAATGTGAAATGCTGGCTGTTTGGTTCCGGAGAAAATCCTTTCTCTCATCCCATGGAAGAAGAATTTCTCCACAAGGTTTTGTGGTGATAGACTCAGCGCCGCAAACAAATACAAAGATCAGAAATAAATGCAGTAACAAAAAATTCCCAATTTTTTTAATTTTTCTATTCATTTAATATTGACAAAATTGTTTTCCAAATTCTTTATTGAAATTTATCAACTTTCCCTGTGGCCGTAAAAGCAGATAATGGCAGTGGCAAAATATATTTTTGTTGTGGCACAGAATTCTTCTGCAATATTTTCTCTCGATGTTCAGGCTTCTCACAGTTGGACACGTGTCATATACAAGAGGCAAAGGAATGCTCCACGTGTCATGAGCCCACAACCACAATATATATTTTCACCCCAATCTTTACAAAAATTGCAGAAAGTCAGACATAGGCAACCTGAATAAGTCTCCCCTCCATTTCTGCAGCTATGAAATTCACACACAGCATAAAGAAAACCAGAGTTTTTATCAATTAACATCACAGCATGCAAGTAAAACAAAAGTTTCCCTCTTGGGCTTGGATCAAAACTGATTACAACAGAGTAAGCTTCATATTGGTAAACACTTGGATTCCTGATTCTCGTAGTGTTTCAGAACTGTGAATTGCTGAGGAAAGTGACCATGCATCTGGTGCTCTGAAACATCTTATCTATCTTCTGCCAAGCTGCTGACTGAATCTCCAGCAGCTTCTTCGCCTTATCCTGTAGGCTCGCCTGCCGCCTAACAGTCTCGCCGTGAATCTGATGATATCATATATATAACAACAACAAAAGAGGGTTAACCATCTCTGGAAAAAAATGAAGAGAGCCCAATTGGGACTGGTAGTTTGATGAGGTTTGTACTACCTTGAGGAATAATCTGATGAGAGCCTGGATGAACTCGAAGTTGTTGCGACTGGATATCTCATGGATGAAATAATCGAAGAGGAGTTGTATTGCGACGAGCTCAGGCTTCGTTTCTACATCATCCTGATCATCATCGCCGTCGTCCTCATCGTTGTCATCGATTATCTGAAGCATCCGAAGCTCCATGTCCAGGTTCGATGGGGAGAGCCCTTTCATGTAGTTGGTGAATGCTGAAACTGCAGAAACCGAAATCGCAGAACGATTATAGGAAACTAAAACTTCTAGCCCATGTGGTTGTTCAAGTGACGGAAAGGGCTGAGACGGGACACATACAGTTGTTCGCCTCTACACACGAATGTAGAAGCTCGGTAAACTTGGACACTGGTATTAATGGTGTCTCATATTTTCCTTTGTTTTTCGTCTTTCTGGCTTCATCAATATCCATACCATCATCGTCTTGGGCTGGTTCACTAGGTTTGAACAGAATGTCTCCAGAGAGAGATGGAACTGATGGCAGGAAAAACGGAGCCTTTTCAGGTTTCTTGGGGGGTTCGATTGGTTTATTGCGCACCTGAATAAAATCAATAGAACAGGCTGAAAGTTCAAATCATCTGAAACACAAAAGCTGCCGTCACTAGAAAAACTGAAAGAGAATATACCTTTATGATGTCTAGGTTGATCAAGCTCTGCCATTGGCTCTTAGGCAACAATGAGAGCGTTACAAGGCCAGGGATTTGTTCCTGAGTGAAAGTTGACAGACCAGATGCCTCACTAGGTACTGACTGGTTGTTGGCATTAGACCCACCGTGATCATCCTCATGAGAATCTTCCGTCGCAGAGATAGATGGCAATTTCACACTCACAACCTCCTTTCCACTAGCGTAAGAATCTACAGATGAGCTTCGAGAGAACATCGACTGGTTCACCCTGCAAATGTTGTAAAGCCGAAAGATGAAAACTTATCCTTGGCCTCCAGGAATTCAAAATCCAAGTAATTAGTGTGATCAAAATCCTGAGTCACTAAACAAGTTTACTCAATCAAACATAGCTTGATTCTATACAAAGACTATTTTCCATAGAATCTTATGCTTTCCCTAGAAAAATCAACGAACACATCAGATAGACTCTATAGCTGTTAAATGACAACATATGGAAAACTGTAGCTACTCTACATGATCTGCAGAATCTTACGCTTCCTGTCCCTGCAATTCGATTCTACATAGAATTTATGGTTTGACTTGTCTACATTGGAAGAGATGAGAACTTACCAAAGATAGACACCATTTTGCTCAGCATGAGTAGTGGCTAAAACATCCATGTTTGGAGACAAAGACAAAGCTGTGATGGCCACGTCTACATGTACTGCATCGATTTGTCTTGCTAAGATGACATCCCATATTCGTAGTGTGCCATCCATACTAGACGACAAAAGCCATTTCCCATCTTCACTGAAACACAAGTCTGTAATTCGATCTGTGTGGCCTTGAAATTTGCGAACCATTCTCAATGCCACGACATCAAAAACTCGGATGACCAAATCGTCCGCAACAGTAGCCAGAAGACCTGGAAATGTGCCAAACCCAAGTTGATCAGATGCTATGTTTGAATCAACCAATAAGGAGCATATTAGAGAAGTTATCCATTGGAGCAAATGGCAGAAACTGAGTGTGCATGTAAGAAAAATATTAACGAAAAAAGAAAATTAACAAATAAAGTGATCATTGATCAATTATGAAATATGATTAAGTAGTCCTCCGATTTGTCAACTTTTTTAGAGTGTAGATGACATTCTTAAAATAATTGAGGTGTAAAGAAGAAAATAATGATCCTAACAGGTGCCAACCAATTGAATAACATCGAGCTTAGAGTATAAATATCGACAAAACAGAAAGAGAGACAAGTACAGAAAGATGCCATTACCGTTGTATCGATGATAGATAGCCTTAACTAGACAACAGCCAACTTCCAATCGGGATTTTAATTCACGCCCTTTAAAATCCCAAACCTGCAAAGCAACCCTTCAAAGAATAAAACTACGGCAGATCTAGATAACAGGTACATCACAAGCTTGAGCCTGTTATTTTCTGAAGAGAAAAAACTAGGTAGCAAATAAATTGGGTATTTTATTGTCAAAGTATATTGGGTAATTTTGAACAGATAAAATAGCAGCAGTGTTCTCAAGAAAGTCATTTACATGAAGAAACCATTCAACATGTCCTGGAACAAGTTATCATTCATAAGATACAGATGACTCCATCAAGGAGTTAGTCAAGTTGGCCAAGATAGGAGCTAAATCAAAAGTGCTATAAGAAAACTGACCTTTATGTCTCCATGATACCCTGCACTTATCATTAGGGTGTTTGTTGAATCACAAGCAACTCCTACTACTTCCCCTTTGTGAGCACCATTTCTTTCTGAGGTATCAAGGTAACTACCTCGGCTATGTCCTGATTGAAGGTTGAATCGTTCTATCCAACCACCGGCCGTCCCCAGAACTGCGAAATTGCCGCATGCACTAATGGCACAGGCCTGATGGCAAAAAAAAGAGTTGATATCAAGATTCAGGACTACTGAATGTTAGATTGCAACATTTCTTTTTGTCGTTTCTTTTTTCTTTTCATTGTACTATTTGCTTCTATTGACAAGTTCTCCAACACACCTCCAACAGGTCAAATCAAACGAAGCCATAGAAACCAAACAAATAGAAAGAAAGAATATATTTCGTACGCTAGGAAATTGGTATAAACTAATGCTTGTTTTATTGCAGGTAACCCTTTAAAAGTCAACCAAGTCCAGTATCTCCAGTTTCACACTGAACAGTACATCGTTTAGGTATGGATTTGATGCACCCCAACAGAAACAACTCAATGTAACATTTTGGTTTATGCATAAATGAAAGTGATGAAAGGAAAACCCGAACGATGGGACTCCAAAACAAGAAAGTAACTCTAACCTTTACAGGTGTTGGATTCTGTGCACACGGTCTCAAGATATGCTTGCCAAGAACGAAATTCTGAAGCCTCCATATATACGCCTCCGATGTGTCCATATGGCAGGTAACAACATTGCACCAATCACGCTCCCTAATTTCAGCTACATCAAAATGAATGGCACGACATATATCATGAGATACACAGAAAACAGATATAAAAGTCTTAAAAATTTATAATGTTTTGAACTGAATTCGTACCACAATCAAATGCAATAACAGGCTTCAACTTCAGCTCCTCTTCCTGGGGGAGAGGGGAAAAAGAAACTTAGCACCAAATCTCTACTAAAAAAGCTAGACTAGCACTTTTGCACGGATTAAGGGATAGCCAACATGCAACTGTCCAACATGAATGGTTAAACTATGGGATCAACCCTTGTCTAGTAGTAGATAACTGCTACATACAAAACTTGGAATCTATTGTATCACTTCTACAACTAGATCTTCAAATCATGCTAAACATACAATGTCACGATATGAGTCATCCTCTAGTTTAGTATCAGGTAAAAGATGCTTGAACCAATAAGTGGTAAATGAGAGCAGCAAAGATATTTCATTCGGGAAAACTTCAGCCATTTGCTAAACATTTCCATCAAATACACTAGAAATGTTCTGGATTTTTTTTCAAAGAAAACAAGCTGACGCTTCTGTAAAATAAAAATAGAAGCACAATACCTTGTTTGAAGCATAAATGAGTAAATTTCAGGGTAAACACCAGTGTGTGAAGGGGAAAAGACAAACAGCGGCAATGATAGCCTAAAAGTATATTCCAAATCTTTTATCTCATCTGTCCTAGACAAAAATGAGGGTGGTGTTTTTACACGAACATACCTTTAGTTTGAGTTTCTTGGCACGTTTTGATATATGATGCTGTGACAGCTCTCTGCTTTGTTGATCCTGGATACAGTGCATATGATAAGTAAATTGAGTAACACAATCCACAAGCAATGCTGAAATCCGGTATAGATCATACAGACTACAGAGAAGTTATTGTTCTTTCCCTAGTTCCCTTTTTGAGGAAAGAAAGGGGACAAGAGGTAGACTTAATGCAGTGATAACATAATTTGGTACATTTGTTCATTTTCATTATTTTCCAGGAAAAACACACCTAAACACAGCTGTATCAGACCCATGAAAGTGACATGCAACATACAGTTGTGGCGACAGTGGAAAGGGCCACATCAGAATCAGAAGTAAGAAAGCAGTCGAACAGAACAGCAGAGACACAAAGCATTAGTATGAAACTCTGTACAATAATTACTCAACCAGGCATGGAACTTCGCATGTGTCATTTGAACTGTCCATAACACAAGAAATTTCATCGCATGGGCCAAACCTGAATAACGGAGAAGAGCCGAAATGCACGATCCTGACCAGCAGAGAGAATGTGTCTCCCATTTGCATAGAACCTATTACAATTTTGAAGCAAGATAGATAAACTATGTCATGCCATGGAATAAATATAGATGAAATAGTAGAAGTTGCTGGAAAGTAAACTGCAAGGTCGGAACGGACCCATAAGAGCTACATATGTTGCACAAACCTGAGAGTACTAGGAGAAAAAAGACAGAATTGCCCATAGAATGATTCTACAAATTGTAAACATATGTATTTTTACAAACTATTGGTTGATTCCATTTCAATTCCATATCTATCTTTTTTAGGACATTGTGAACTGGTAGTTCGAATCCGTAAGACTACAAGAAACAGTAGGGTTGCCAACTGACATGAATCATGGATAGGCATCCTACCTTATGCAAAGTGGAGGAGCACTGTGTCCACTTCGAAAACGTAGCAGGCGAGGCTCCCCGTCACTTGTGTCAAAAATCCACATCTATTGGCAAGCAAAGGGAAGAGAACTATGTTTTAACACCCCATTGGGGGAAAGGGATAACAAATTACCAGTGGACCACTACAACCTCATCTAAATGCATCCAGTAAGATATAATTTATATCAGAACTGAAAACATCTCGAGTATTAGATATCGTACTTCCAATAACATGGTGATTCAGGCAGAGTTGACGCAAACTTTATTTTGAGCAGAAACAAAAAACCATTTCAGAGATTTGATTAAACATAATTAGAACAAAAGTCAAGTTATCATATTTTGTATAAAGAGATGTAGACAACCCAATACAAAGTAGAGGAAAGCTGAAGACATTCTAATTAGGTAACTCCGCACAACTGAAGACATAACAAAGCAAGGGAAGAACATGTGTAAATGATACTTCCTTCAAATTTCAAGCCAACAAAACAAGCTAAGCAAAAAATGGATATACAGATTGCAGCAATTAGCTTCACATTTATAAAATATGCCATACATGGTTAATTGCTGCTTATTCAGAAAACCAGCAGAGCTAGTTTTTTATACCTTGATGGAATTATCTGCTGCTGCACTCATTAGCACAGGTTCATTGGCAAAAAAATGCAAAGAGACAATTGAACTGTCATGAGCCTCTCCAATTACTGACTGGAGCCTTCTTTTCTCAAGATTCCATACGCTAATAACACCAGATGAACCTCCAGATGCCAAAAGTGGCTGTCCATCTATTGATAGAAAAAACAGTATGTCAAAGCAAACTCCGGATACAGTTGATAAGATCTTAGATATAAGTGAGGAGCACCAAATAGACTGTTTATGAAAATCTGAGTGAGAGAGGGAATCCCTCACACAAGTCCTTGATTCTTTGTAAAACCCCATCAAATGCATAACAAGGAGTAATAAGAACACTGAAAGGTAGGAGATCAGTTACTTAAAAGGATTATCTCAAGTGTCTAAACTAAAGAAAGTTCAATTGTTACCCCTCTGTTACACAAAGAACAAGCTCATAGATATTTATATGCCACCATCTGATCAGCCAGCTTCAACCTTTTACCTGTACTGAATGACAAGGCTGTCACTGCACCTCGGCTAGAATGAGTAAAAGTGACCAACTCTTCATCATATCGAATATTATGTACATGAATCTTCCCATCAGCACAACCCACAGCAACAACATCTAGTGCTGGTGATGACACACAACTGGTAATTGATGACTTCCACCCCTTAAAGTCATAAAGTTTTTTCTTTGTACTGATGTTCCACAGCTGCATTGAACCTTCCTGGCTCCCAAACACTATCTGATAACACAATTCCCAATAAGAAACATTCTCAAACAAAAACATAAAAGCTAGGACTTCATATAATAGACCGACTATCACCTTATTCAGATAAGTTTCTGGATGCATTATACATGAGGGAGTGAAACCATCATCCAACTTGATGTGTCCAATTGGACCGCGATTGCGTTCATTACCTTTAAAATTCCATATACACAAATTCCCATCGATATCAACACTTAGGACATGCTCTCCAAATAGCAGCAATCGAGTAATTTTGGCGCTATGTCCGCTGCAAGTATCAACCTGCAAATTCGCCACCTTTCAGAGTCCAATAAGAATTTAAACTACATGAACAAGCTGCAGATCACTAGATAATCCTTCACAGATGGATCATTCGTTCCCACTCCACACAAACAGATTGAACGTAAAGAAATCAACTTGCCAACTCCCTCCCTAGCTTTCTGATGAAGCCATCGCGCAATCACCCAGCAAATGCGAAAGAAAGAGAACACTGGGGATTCATTTTCAGAACAGAAACTTCACACATCCATACTGCTCGCTGAATCGACTGCTACTCAGACTCGTGATACTTGACTAACAATCACGCTGAAAAGCAAAAAAAAACTAACCTGCTGAGCACGATTGAAGACAGCAATGTGGCTACCATATGCAGCGAAAGTGTAGTCCCGATAAGAGGAGAGAGCACGAATCTTGCTAGGAAGCTGAGGGCTGACGAGGACCAAAGTGAGCTTAGAGCAGTTGTAAACCTGGAAAGCCTTTCCTATGCTGACTGTGACGAATGTCTCAGTGCCCAACCGCTGAACAGAGAAGGGCACTTCGCTCGTTATGTACCCAATCGCTCTGTAAGGCTCGAATATCCCCATCCTTCCCGCAACAACTCAAAAGAGTACTAATTTCCACTGCGGAATACTGGCACAAAAACAACAAGAATGAACGTCCGAGTTAGTCTCTCACCAGAATGAATGCACTGACTGGAACCAAGTAAAGCATTCAAGCGGAGAACTAGGGTATAAAGATTCAAGCTTACCTTGAAGAGAAGCGATTATAGAAGAAATACGGGGTCAAGTTAGGAGAAGGGGCGAATTAGGGAAGGAAGCTAGATGTGAGACGGTGCAGAGATAAAGAATAAGCGAGGGAGTTCAGCCACCGGCGGAGAGTATTGATTGGTGAACGTCGGGAAGTGAGGAAAGGATTGGATTTCGAGAGGCGCTCCGTCAGCGGCTGAGCGAGTTGGCGAAGAAGAGACGGAAGAAGGCGGAGCGCGGGCAAGGGTTTTGGGTTTTAGAAATTAGACGTCTCACGTCTGCCTGCCATTTTCGCCCTCCTTTTTCTCTTCTTTGTGGGCTTGAAGTTTTAAATGATTAGTTATGAATTATAATGTTAAAAAAAGGTTAAATACAATAAATTAATAATATGTGCAAAGAATTTGTAAAATTTCCAACACAAATATTTCATATAGGTCTATAATTGTATGTCAACATGTACAAGTTTCTTTTGATAACATAACAATGATGTGTACACCAAAATTGCAAGTGCACCTTACCGTTTTCTTTTCTTTTAGATTCATCGGCGTGTTTAGGTTAGTATCAACATATTACTGAAAATGGACATGTTATCATAATTTTATCATGAATTCTCGCATGCAGTGAAGTAACTTTTTTGTCGTGATTGCCTACGTTTGTTGTTTTTTTTAATGGTTTATGTTTGCGACAGATAGATAACAAGAATGTATGATTAGAATTATATGTTCATTAGTAACGTGTGTTTTATAAGAATACATTGTATTGAAATGTAAGAAATGCATGCATTTTAGGTTATATGTATACAAGGATTCTACTCCTGAATATTATATATTGAGAATCAATCATTTATATGATTATGAATAAAAGGATTCTAGTTCTAAATTATACCAAAAAGTTATGTGTTCCCGGGTAATGCATGTGTTTCGAGAATCAACAGCTATCAATGCATTCTTACGAGTGGGGTGGGCATACGGTTCGGTAAAACCGAACCGAATCGAACCGAATTCAAATCGAACTGAAACCGAATAATATTAATTCGGTTCGGAATTCGGAAGAGAAAAGGGTATATTTCGCAAACCAAGGTCCTTTCGACCGAACCGAATTTCTGAATTCCGAACCGATTTTCCGAATTACTATCATTGCAAGTTCCAAATGGTGGATTTTTATGTTTGTACTTATTATGAGGCTTAAATATTTGGATTATGTTAGTGTTTTATGACTTATGTGTTGAAATGTTTGATTTTATCATTGATGATGCATTTAATTGCATATTTATTGTTTATATTAGGGGTGAAAAATAATTTAAAAGAGAAAAATACAAGCTAACATCACAAGTTTGGTTTTTCATACAAAACCGAACCGAATTATAATTCGATTTGAACCGACCGAACCGAATTATAATTCGGTTCGAATTCGGTTTGAGGTTTGATGGAACTCGGAAACCCGGTATATATTATTTCGGTTCGGTTCGACCGAATGCCCACCCCTACTTACGAGTGAAAGTCTGGTAATTATTGCTTATACAATTGCTCCACAGGCCAAATGTAGTCTTATTTCAATTGTAACCCGCCCTCGGTATGTTCGTTAGGCAACCTAGCCCCATTCTGGCAGGTCCTTCATAACACAAGGTATCCATTTGATCGATCCATAAAAACAAATAAGCCCAAGCAAAAGAAGGGGCGGTACCCTATACTGGAGAAATTGTCCACCTTTTCCTAATCCTTAGGTCTCATATCTGGGTAAAATGCGAGGAATCCCTTGCTTAAGCTGTGCCAGATGCGCTGCTTGAGGAACGCGAGAAAACAACTCCCTGCTTCCAGTAGCACAATCTCCTTGGGAGGCTTTTATACTTTGTGGTGGTTGTTGCCTCCTAAACACGAGCTTACTTTGTGGCAGTACAAGGACATGATCTAAGTCCAAAAACAATATGTTTATAATCATTTAATCACAAACATACACAATATGTTTTTTACCATGGTGTTTACCCACAAAAAATTCACTTGTACCACAAAAATTTGACTTGTAACACATCGATTACTTCACTCTACAGTAATTATTAAATGAGCTAGTTGGGCATTAGTGGAATGAGTTTTTGGGTTTAAGTGGCCAAACTCACTTTCCCATACACGGTGACCGACTCGTCTTCCTGGCCTCCATGGTCAACACCCCTCTCTCCCTTGGTATGAAATATGGCTCTAAAAAACTAAGTTTGGAAACAAGGCAAACTTGGTAGCTAGTCAACAGGGTACCAAGCTCACAAGGCAAGCCTGGTACTAAAATATGAAAATTGGCTAAGTATGGAGCCAACAAGATATCAGGACGGGAAGACAGGGCTTGGTATTGAAAATTGGCTAAGTATGAAGCCAACAGGTACTAGGGCGGGAAGGCATGGCTTGGTACCTCGGCATGAAAATTGACTAAGTATGGAGCCAACAGGGTACCAGGCCGGGAAGACAGGCTTGGTACCTCGACATGAAATTTGGTTAAGTATGGAGCCAACCCGATGAGGAGGTGACAAGATGGCCAACTGAGGTGACAAGATGGCCAACTGAGGTGGCCACCCGGCTGGGTACCAAGGCGCCATGGACCATCCTCATAGACTTAAGACTAAGTATGAAATCTTAGGGGTGGGGGCTGGTCGGACAGGATGTCGAGCTAAGAGGTTGTCAACTGAATGATGACTTGGTATAGAGCCCCTAGGGGGCTATATGGAGACTTAGTCCCAATACGAACTTGGTGGCCCCAAACGGGGGTACCAAGCCAACAGGGTGGTAAGATACCAACTTGATATGATCCAAAAAACTAACTACAAAAAACAAGCTGGCAGAACTGGCTTGGTAGCCGGGGCCGATGACTGGTTCGGTAGCACACGGGTATCAAGCCGGAGAGGTCAAGACTTCGTCATGGAGCAAGGCAAAGAGGTTCAACTTCATTCACTCAACAAGACTCAATACCAAAATCCTACATGGCTTCGAGGCCATCAAGTACAAACTAGTCCTTAAGGCGGGGCAAGAGGCCCCAATGGGATATGAGTCATCAACAAGGCGACTGTTAACCATTGGTCTCCAAGGTGGCGACAAGGGGTCCCTAAGGCGGTTGGATCAACAAGCCAACTAGCAGTTAACAAAGCGGTTACCAAGGTAGTTACACCTAGTGGCTATAAATAGAAGAAACTAAGATTGTAAAAGGATCAATAACCAAACACTTGATACATAAGTCAAAGTTTATCATTTCTCTGCAAGTTAGTAGTACCTTTTAATTTTTGGTGCTCTCACTGAACCTCCATGGAAGTAAGAGTAGGAGTAATTAACTTAGCTTGTTCCCAAAAAAGAATAAAAAATATCAATCAAACACCCTCGTTCGAACATTGTTCAGAGAGGTGTGAATCGTGTTTAAAATCGTTGTTCAATAAGTCAAGGTGCATTTATTGAAATCAACACTAGAGTTTTCCTCGACAGTAAACACCAGGTGAATTTGCTTATATTGCACTCTTAAAATTAAGATTACAAGAGGTTGATTACTCCATAAAAGGCGAAACAAAAAAAAGTAATAGATACTCCAATGTCCGGAAGAACAACCCATGTCGAAAGAAAGGTCACAAGAACAATAAATGAAGGTTGAACCAAAACCAACAACAAAGAACCATTACAGTTGCTAAACAGAGTGAAATCAAAATCCTCTCGCTTCCACAACCAAGAGAGCAGCAACCAAGCAGATTTGCAACTCTCCCGAAAAAGATAGAACATTGGCGTTTGGATATGCAACGCCATAAGTTGCCACTTGGGGATCGTTTGAAGACGACTCATCATAGTGAATCACAAGGTTGAAATTACTCGACGATGAGCAGGGTTGAAACCGGGATGCTCGGAGCTAAAAATGGCCGAGGAAAGCAGAAGCAAGCTAGACTAGTGGTTCACTGTGATGAGATGAAGAACACCAAGATAATATCCAAAGAAAACTGGAGCAGTCGCCAAAGAAAAACGGAAATGAAACTGTTACCCAAAACAGACGGTCGAAGAGGAGGCAGAGGTGCTCACCAAAGGACGACGATAGAGGAAATCGGTGAATGTGTTCATCCGAGAAGAAGAACCCACCAATATGGCATACAACGTCGAGTTCATGTCGAGTTAAACTCACGGTGTGCACATTACCCTATTGCTATCTCTGAACCTGTGATATTTGATTTAAGTCCCATGGCTAAATAATAAGATTCCCAGAAGGTTGTTGCTATAAATGGCTCCATTTTTTTTTATGTGACCACTATTCTACAATTATTTGGTCGATTAATGGTTCATGCATGTAACCACTAATAACCAGTAGAGGTAAGAGATTATGAATCCGCTGATTGCAAACGATATAATTTGTTAATTAATTATTTGAGCAACCTACAGGGTGGTCTAGCAAACAACAGGCAGGCTTTGGCGTCTATCCAGCCCGCTAAATATCTTATTGCTCTGTTCGTGAATCATTGTTTAAGGCCAAACCGATTAAACTTATGTGGAGTATTGAAATAATTCTGATATTGAATGTCTGATTCCGATTACCACATAATCATATATGGACTTGAACTACTGAATAGTACTCTTGTGTTCGACAAATGATTTATCCTTTTTATAATTTTAATATATATAAAGATGATGTTAGGTTACTGTGGCCTAATATTTTACATGTTGATACTCCAAATTTAATTAAATCACAACTTAGTCACTATAATGTAAATTTTAACATTTTGATACCCTAAATTTAATTTTAATATAAAATCATTGAACAATTATGTTTTGGTATCAAAATTTTGTGAGATTTTCGTACCTACAATTTTTTAAATTTACATTTTGATACTCCAAATTTAATTTTAATATAAAATCATTGAACAATTATGTTTTGGTATCTAAAATTTATGATATTTTCGTAGCTGCAATTTTTTAAATTTACATATTGGTCCTATGTTTACATTTTCACTTGAATTCATGAATCCAATACATCAATCCTTTTGAACCAATCCATGAATCCAATCCATCATAACATAAAAGTATAAATTTAGTTTGTACAATGTGTTGTGTCACTCAATACCACTCTACCGTAGGAGAATATTCGACCATTTTATATTTGCTCATTACGTGAAACATTAAATAAATAATAGAAGAGATACGACTCTAAAATATTGCAAGAGCGAATTTATGAACTCATTTTGTACATTTACGGAGTGCTAAACAAACTTCTACTAACTACATGTAACAAAATATGCGACATCTACATAAACAAGTGTCAATAAATTGGTACGGTGAAAAGG